CTCTCTCTCTCTCTCTCTCTCAAATAAATAAATAAAATCTTTAAAAAAAAATTTACCCAGTGAATAACAAATGGCAGATACTCCGAATTATTAATTTGCTACATCCGAGCCTAATAATAATTCCAACCCAAATTCCTGGTTCCTAATATTTTTCAATTCCTTGTGCTCACTCCTCTGTCCGATAGGCGTGGAGAGTTATCCTCTAAAGCATTCTTACCATGTGTCAAGAGCTATCAAGTTTCCTTGGTGCCGACAGCGAATGTATCCGTTGTCATCCTGCGAGGCACAAGAACAACAGTCACCTCGGGACTGCTGGTGTCACTCAGGAGCCGTGGGCGTCACACAACAGCATTTACGGGCTCCAGGAAGCATTTATCAGCATCTCCGTGGGAGTCATTCCAGCTCCAACTGTGCTAAGAAATGGACTTCCTCTGTGGTCACCTCTGGGAAAACCCACAAAGATGAGAGGGACATCGTAGCCCAAATGACGTCCCCAGAAAGGGAAACCGTTGGGACCGTTGAAACTCTTAACTCATTTCTGAGACACAAGAGCGTTCTCTGATGGGCCTGATGGCCGTTTCTGGAAACAGGATGCCCCGGCCCCCTCCGCCACCTCGCCATCCCTGCAGTCGGCCCTAGTGATTTCAGAGCGTTCCACTGCTTCTGCAAGCCACCACCCTTCCTAAGCACACCATGTTCCCGGACAGCCCAAGTCTGAGATAATTTTCAAACCACCGGGGATGACAAGTCCACGTCGTGCTGTTCCATGGCACACCCACAAGTCCATACATCACAACCTGATTTTCACTGTGGCAGCTGGGAGGATAGTTTTGGACACCCACCTGCATGTGTGAAGAGTCACCTGGCCCCTATTTCTCGTCCTGACCATAACCAACCAGGATGGGGCCTGAGATTCGGGTGACTGTCAGCAATAATAAGAGATAATGAATGAGTTGGCATTGTGCCCCATAAAACGATTTTGCAAGTACCGGGTAAGCTTGCTCAACGAAACCCTCCCCTTAGCCCACCATGACTAATTCCGCTTGCTGCTTTTGTGGGCTTGGACAACAGTCCTTACTGACCTTTGCCGTAGTATGTGAGCTTGCCCTCATGGCTCTCTCTTACACACTCCCCGACGGCCATTTGTGGATCCTTAATTTTGTGTTTTTCACTGCCGTGACCACGGCTAACATTATGGAGCCGGCGCTTTATTTTTCCCTCTGAGTTTGTATCAACGGTTTTTTAAAAACAAATGTGATTATACTGTGTGAATTCTTTGATATTCTGCCTTTCTCCCTCAATATTTTATTGTGAGGACACTCCCATTGCTTCTAGAGATATTCAACATAGAAGTTTTATTTGTTGTAAAGTATTTATTCCGGGATTATACCATTAGCCATAATTTATTTGGCCAGCTCCCATTTTCTGACATTTAATACTGTTGTTAAAATTATACTATGATCAGTAAAGCTACCGTGAATCTCATTTGGTATAAATCTTTGTGTATTTGTCAGGATCATCTAGGCTTGAGCCGATAATAAACAACCCGCAAATCTCAGTGGGTTACACAGCAAAGGGCTGTCTCCCGTCACTTCCAAGTCCAACCGCGGGAGCTCCGCTCCACACAGCCACGCTATGGCAGAGGCTGTGGGCTCCAGTACCACCAGCACCTCCAGAGTTTGCTTTCGGAGAGCCCAGAGCGTGTGGGGAGCTTGCATGCTCTTCTGGGCTTGGTTGGGATGTGAGGAGCATCATTTCTGCTCACAGACCCTCAGTCCGAGCCAGTCCCAGGGCCCAGCTGGCATGCCAGCGAGGTAGGAGCCCAGCAGAGAGGAGAGCCGGCTGTGGGCGGGCAGTGGTAATATCCCCCCCGCAGAGGGAGGAGAAAAACAGCCAGAAGACATAAATCCACAACATTAGGAAGGAAAGAAGGCGGGTCATTACGGATAGAGATTAAAATAAGACTAAACTAGGAACAATAAAAACAAAACAAAACAAAAAAACTCAGAGAGGATAATTATCTCTAAAAATGTAGTTCAGCAAAATTCAAAAGCAAAAAGAATCTGAATAAACCTTCAACCATTAAAGAAATTTAGAAGTCTACTCTGCTTAATTCTCTACACAAGATGCCAGGACCAGGCAGTTTTATAAGAGAATTCTGCCAAACGGCCCAGGAACAGGTATCCCAATGTTGCACAGAATGTTCCAGAGAATAGAGAGGCGCTGATCTCTGACGCATGTTCTGAGGTGAGTTTATTTTTTTTCTACCAAAGCAGACTAGGACAACATGAGAAAGGATATTCATCGTCCTCATAGATGTGGGCAGGAAAATCCTGATAGAGATTAGCCAACAGACTTCATTCAGCATTGTGTAAAAACAAATCGATCCTGACGCATCTGGGTTTTTTGAGGAATGTAAGATTACATTTGAAAAACTATTTGCGTAATTCACCACAGTAAGTTTAAAATTCAACATACATTCACAGCACAAACTCATAGGAAATTGGGAATAGAAAGAAGTCTCAACTTCATAGAAAAAATCACTACAAAATACCTATAGCAAGCAGGCTCCACTGGGGAAACCTTAGAAGGAGTGTGTCTGAAGTCTGAGACAAGCTGCGAATGTCTGCCATTACTCTTTATCCAATATTTTGCTTGAGCTACTTATTATCGTAAGATATTGGGCAAAAAAATGACAAATGCCAGAATTCCCCTGAGAGAAGAGAAGCTGAGATTTCCTATAGATGAGAAGATTGTGTGCATAGAAAAATGCAAGGGAATCTACAGATGAAAAAAAAAATCAGTGAGAGTGTTTAGCTGTTTTTCTGGACACAAGATGAGTGTGCAAAATCAATGTGTCATTCACAACAACAGACAACATAAAATGCAGTTTAAGAAATATGCCATTTATAGCGGCCACCAAAATACATGGTAACTATGCAGAAATCTAACAAAAGCTGTGAAAAGTCTTTATGGAGGACATTTCAAGCTGTCATTAAAGTACGTAAGAGAAGACTTGGCTAGATAGACTAACGTAAGATCGATGGATGGGAAAATTCAACAGCATAATGATGTCCATTTTCCCAGATTAACCCAAGAATTATTGATGTCTAACAAATATTTTGGAGAAATTCAACAAGCTGATCCAAAACTCACGTGGAAGGAGAAATGGTATAAAGTGAGCAAAATTAATCAAGGTGGGAGAATTTGCTTATTAGATGTTTGGACTTTTTATAAAGCTATAATAATAGACAAATAGATCAGAGGAAACAGAGAGAACTTGGAAGCAGACCCCTGCTTCTGAGGGGGATTTATATATAAGGGAGGTGGTTGTGTAGATCAGCAACATGATGAACATTTCAATCAATGCAGGAAGCGGAAGTGTCAGAAAACATAAAATTAAATCTCCGTCTCACACCACAGTCAAACATAACTCCAGGTTGATTAAAGACCTAAATGTGAAAAGCGAAGTTACAAAAAAATTTTTGATGGCATACACAGGAGATAGTTATGATCTTAAAATTGTCATGGATTTCTCAAAAGACAAAAGGCAAAAACATAAAACAAAACCTCAATCCATTGGGCTACATTAAAGTTAGAAACAAGCCCAGAAGACAATGTTGAGGAGTGAAAACAAGTTTGCAGTCTAGGAGATATACTATTCACAAACATATAGCAGACCAAGGATTAGTATGCAGAATATATAAAGAACTCTTTCAGTTTCTAAGAACAAGCAAACAATCCATGGAATAATGGACAGAAGATACAGACGGGCAATCCACATGTGACGTATCCTCAAAGACCAACAAAGATGAAAATATGTACAATCTCACCAGTAATCAGAAGGTGAAAATTACAATAACAAGCAGATCGGGAAAGTAACAGTTGGCAGTACTCTTTGAAGGTCATGTGGGGGCGGGGGCCTCTGACTTTGATGGTAGGAGTACAAGGAGCTGATTTTGGTGAAGGGCAACTTGGCGGCATCTAGGAGAAGATAAGCATCCCTTATGACCTGGTGGTTCTGCTGCTGGTGGCTCCTCAGAGAAGCTCATACAGATACCCAAGGAGTCATGCATGGCAGTGTGGTTCATAATAATAAACACATAAATGGTTTTAGTGTACATATCCAGAGGAATGGATCAATAAACTTTGGTAAAAGCCATATAATATGGATGGTATGTTTTTCTATTTAGTAAAATGGACAGATTAACATTAATAAAGCTCTAAAACATAATGTTGATTAAAGCAAGTAATTTACAGAGGGGTAATTCACAACAGGATAACATTTATAAATAATTTTATAAAGCCAGAACATACTGTACATTGTTCATGGATACCTAATAAAGAGGACAAATACAAAAATATGTGTGGGGCTTATAAGCTCCATAATTAGGATGGCAGTTATGCTGTGGGAAAGATAGGGATGTGGTTAGGGATGGGGTATTCAGGGGTCTTTAGCTATAATGCAAAATTTTATTTCTTATATAATAAAAGACCCACCTGAAATATGATAGAATACTGAGATCCTACAAAGTTAGGTAGGTTATCCATGGATTTTGTTATATTATTTTCTATCATTTTCTGTATGCTTGAAGTATTTCAAAGTAATAATTTACAAAAAGAACATCTCTTTTGATCATTTTTCAAATATAGTGTCAGATAGAATCAACGATAGAGAAATCTTTGTCATCCTCTATTAACATTTTAAAGCAAAATCTAAGACCACAAACACTGTCTTCAAACTTCATCTCCCTCAAAATAAATATTCCCTTTGACTTTTTAAAAACATTTAAGAGTTTTATTGAGATATGATTAACATACCACCAAATTTACCCTCTTCCAACATGTGTGAATTGGTGGTTTTTAGTATATTCACAGGGTTGTGCATCATTATCTAACTTTAAAACATTTTCATCACCCCAAAAGAAAATCCTGTGCCCAGAAGTCAGTCCCCATTCCGTGTCCCCCTGCAGCCTACTTTCTCACTTCTGTGGATTTGTCTATTCTGGACATTTAATATCCGGAATAGTGCAACATGTGGCCTTTTATTTCTGACTTGTTTCACTTTGCATATTTTCAGGTTCTGTCCATGTTGTAGCGTGTCAGCCCTTCATTCCTTTTTATTTCTAAATAAGAATCTGTGTTGTGGATACACCACACTTTGTTTATGAATGTATCAGTCAATGGACATTGGGTTCCCTCCGCTTTTTGGCTATTTTGAACAATGCTGATCTAAACAGTATCTTACAGGATTTTGTGTGCCCATGTTTTCATTTCTCTTGAATGTGTACTTAGGAGGTGGATGGCTGGACCACATGTAAGTCTACATTTACCATGTTGAGGAACTGCCAAACTGGTTTCCAAAGTGGCTGCACCATTTTACATTCCCTCTAGCAATATCCGAGGGCTTGAATTTCCTCACATCCTCATCAACACTTGTTGTCTGTCTTTTTAATTTTAGTTGTCCCGGTGTGTATGAAACGGTATTTCCTTGTGGCTTTGAGTTGCATTTCCCAATGATTAGTCATGTTGAGCATCTTCTCATGTGCTAATCAGCTGTTGGTGTATCCTCTTTGGAAAAAATGGCAATTCAAATTCTTTGCCATCTTTTAAATTGGGAAGTATGAGCTCTCCAACTCTTTTTCTTTTTCAAGATAATTTTGGCTATTCAGAGTGCCTTGCATTTCCTTAGGAATTTTAAGATTAGCCTGTCACTTTAGGGCAAAAAAAGCCAGCTGGGCCTTTGAAAGACAACAGTAAGCTTTTCCTATCTATGAACACAGGATGTCTCTCCACTTACTTACTTTATTTCTTCTTTAGTTTCTCTGAAAAATATTTTGTAGTTCAAAGTGTAAAAATCTTTCACTTCTTTTGTTAAATTTACTCCTAGGTACTTTATTCGATTTGATAATGCTTTAAAATTGGCATTGTTGGGGCGCCTGGGTGGCTCAGTCAGTTGAGCATCCAACTCTTGATTTCAGCTCGGGTCATGATCTCAGGGTCCTGCAATCGAGCCCTCTGCTCGGAGGGAGGTGTGCTTCTCCTTCTCCCTCTGCCCCTCCCTGCTCTCTCAAATAAATAAATGATTAAAATCTTTTTTAAAAAGGGCATTGTTTTCTTAATTTCACTTTTGGATTGCTCATTGCTAGTATACTGAAGAACAATTGATTTTTATATATCGATCTTGTAGTCTGCAAATTCTCTGAACTTGTGTATTAGCACCAGAGATTGTTTTGCGGGTTACTTAGGATTTTCTATATACAAGATAGTGTCGTCTATGTGTAAAGATAGGTTTAGTTCTTCTTTTCCTTTCCTTTTATTTACTTATTTATTTTCCCCAATTGTCCCCAGAGAACATCTTTGTCTTTTTTAAAAAAAATATTTATTTATATGAGAGAAAGAGAGGGATCAGGGAGAGGGACAAGATTATATGAAGGAGATAATCGTGGGCACAGAGAGAGCAGCTCGGGGCGAGGGCATTGCGA